ATTTCAACCCCCTATGGGTAATCTTCCCGCAACCCGAATATCCCAAGTCAAAGCTTTTTCCGTTGTGGCAGTAGATTTTTGTGGGCCATTTGACATAACTTTGGGTCGACTCAGAGGCTCAAAGACCGTTAAATCCTATGTATGCGTTTTTGTATGCTTTGCAACCAAAGCTTTGCATTTGGAACTGGTATCGGACCTCACCAGTGAGGCCTTTTTGGCTGGATTGCGGCGTTTTATTGCTAGGCGCGGCCGATGTTCATACATATTCAGCGACTGTGGGCGAAATTTTGTGGGTGCAAATAACTATTTGATTGATATCATGAAAACCGCCGCAGAAAATGAAAAACTCATGTGGAAATTTCATCCCCCGACTGGAAGTCACTTTTCCGGTTTAGTCGAAGCCGGAGTGAAGTCACTTAAGACTCACCTGGCAAGAGTAATCGGTTCTCAAATTCTTACGTTCGAAGAATTACTCACCGTAATAACACAGATCGAAGCTATGCTTAATTCTCGTCCGCTATATCCACAGAGTTCTGATGCTAACGATTTGTCAGTCCTTACACCGGGACATTTTTTGACCGTCGAACCACTGACTTGTCTACCTGATCATGACTTAACACATTTGAAGCTCAACTCCTTAACTCGTTGGCAATTGCTGCAACGACTTCACTCGGATTTTTGGTCTAGGTGGCATCGGGAGTATTTAACCAATTTGCAACAAAAACATAAATGGACTTTGCCTGAATCAGCTCCCAAAGTAGGTGAACTAGTTTTAATTAAACAGGATAATTTGCCCCCTTTGCAATGGCGTAGTGCACGAATCTGTGAGCTTCATCCAGGGTCCGACGGTATAGTCCGCGTTGCCTCGGTCCGAACCGTCGGTGGTATTTACAGGAGGCCTCTAGTAAAGTTGTGTCCCCTTCCTCAACATTAATTTTATTTTTTATTTTTTTTTTTTTTTCGTTTTTCTTATTTTTGGGATTGTTTATTTTTGTAAAAAAAAGAGAAGAGAAAAAAGTATATATATATTTTTTTTTTTATTATTTTTTTTTTTTACAAAGGTGGGGAGAATGTTCAGACTTACCTTCTAAGAGGTTAATTTATTGGGTTATTATTTATTTACGGTCGATCAAATCAAATTGAGTATATCTGTAATATTCAGAACAATAATTTAATAATATTTTGTTTGTACTTTCGCGGGACTGAGAGGCACTTCCACTCCTTCCATGGGCAGACATCGCGTCTGCGAGAGTTGCCGAAAGAGACGATTCAGAGATATACCTCTGAGCGGGCGCACAACTCATACCGCATTTTTCTCGTGCATTTATATTTATTTTGTGAAACTTCACATTTTCTGATATAACTTCCGATTTGATAGACCTAATATTCTCGTGAGTGTTGTGGCCACAGAAAATAGCAGGACTTTTCGAAAATCGTTGGGTGGAAAACATCACGGCCGGCAATTTCAACAAGCATCATAGCAGTGTCTTATCTAGGTAAGTGGAAGTACTCTCTCGCAATCTTATAGAACAACTATTATCGCATACAGTCCATTCATCCCGAACAATATATTTTTTATACTGTGACAACAACAAAGTAAGTTGTCTTAGAGTTGGAAAAATAGCCTCTCATGGGTCATATTTGAATCGCGTGTTTAGTAGTATAGACACCAGATACACGTGTTTCTGAAACTGCAACGAAAATGAAAGTTTACCTTTCTGCCGAGTATGGATTATTTTGGAGGATTACACTTCGAAGCTGGCCTGGAACTTTTGTGAATAATTGATCAGATATAAATAGTCGAACCCTAGCATTTGCTGTCGGGGAAGCTAGAAACACCAAGAGTAGTAAGGTGAGAGCTCACAAAAATCCAAGAATTTTCTTTCTTGATTTATTTTCTCATTATATTTCAGGCAACATTATATAGGATTTCATAGCAAGATTCGGTATTCGGATGTTCTAAATATTCGTGATAATTCGGTCGTTCCATTATTGTCAATGAAAGACAGAAATATGAAAAGATATCCAGAAAAGCGTGATATTTTGCTAGACTATTTCACGTTCACGAAGCATAAAGAGCATTATTATGAATGAGTGATTCATTCTGACAGGTACAGTCATAATCATTTTATGATTAATTCTTAACTTTTTCGAGCAACCAGTATGTCAAAATATTTCTTATACCCCATAACAAAATATCATGTGAATGTTGGAGACTTGGCAACATTGTGCTGAATGCTGAGAACTGACAAGACCACGCTCACAATCCGTGCGCCGTGGTTGTCACGTTTATCCGAGCGTTTACCGGTTCAAATGTCCCCTTGTGTGAATTGATATGATTATTATTTACACAAATGTATTCCAACCAATAAGCTACAACACATGATGGAACATTTTGAGACAATTGAGAATTCATAGATTATTGAAAAACAAATATTTCTGAGGTTCCCAATCGTATTTCAACATATGGCAACTGTATTTTTACTCGCGGTAAATTTCTAGCCGTTTCAAAAAAATTACCGTGACAATATTGATGATTTTGACACCTTAAAATCGACCTGAATCCAAAGAAATAAATAAATTGAAAGGTATTCGAGTGATGATTTTATTTGAGAAATAGAAAGAAATCAGTCCACTCGCTTTATTGTAACTCCAGAGCCGTCTAGCGCCCAAGGTGAGGAACGTTTGCTTGCATCGAATTGTTTTGGCCTGAGGAATATGTGGTACGTTTTTGTGGAGACCTTCTAGGGACACGCTGTATATAACATGATTTTTTTTTTCATTCATAAACCAAAAAATAATTACCCCTCCTAAGAAGAAAGTTATCGGCGCCCCTGGGAATTATCCAGCATTAGCTCATTTCAACTAGAATATTTCAAGAGTCAAAATAATCCTTGTTGGAATAAAAAAAAACCAGATATGCCATGCCATCTTAAGTTTCATTGTCATCATTACTGATCATTATTATAATCCCTTGAGATTACAGAATATCTCCAATTATTACACGATATGACTGCAACCGAATAAATAACTAATCATAAAAATTTTACGAATAGCGATAAACATTTGTTTCTACTAGAAATGATAATTATCTACTTAGCTTCAGAAGCCCATATAGCACTCGACGTCCTGAGGACGTCCAGTTTAGGCCCGATTTAGGTCTGAACGTCCGGGACCTTTTCAAGACGTACTGAAAACGTCCGTTTCTGGACACACTGGGTGCGTACGATTACGATGTACTGGGTACGTCCAACTCTGGACTTTATCGACTCTCAAGGGACGAGATTGAATAAAACTGTATATAATGGTTATTGAAATCATTGCACATAATGTATTGTACTCTCGATCTCTGATATCTATTCATTTAGGAACCTTGCAAACATGAACATAATACATTTCTTTTTTACTGACCGTACCTGATCACAAAACATCTATTTAGGTAGTCTCTGCCATGATCATCTAATTCTATGCAAGTATCGATGTGAATAAGGATCAATCAACATTCGCACACAATGTCTTGTACACTGACAAATAATCAGGTCTTCTGTAGAGTAATAGGAAGAGCAACTGCACGGTAATCTGAAGGTCGTGGGATCGATCACTGGTAGGAGCACTTTTTTTTATTCTTTTAGTCAAAATAATATTTTCTTTACCCTATCTAGGTCTCTATTTAAACTATCTGAGTAAAAAAAAGTTGGATCTACGTTGATTCAGGTATTAATGCTCCCGTACAGACCTGAACAGGACCATTATCGTACGTCCTGGGGACCTCTGGTTGTGTAACATCGTATGTCCCCAAAACGTCCTGAAAACGTACGTAAAAATGGACGTTCTGGGAACGTTTCCAATGTCCGAGGTGTACGGCTTGAGGACGTTTTCGGAACGGTTCTGTGCTATCTGGGAGTTGACAGATAACATTGCATCAAAAATGCGTAAAATGAAAGGAAATTCTACTTATCTTTCTGCTTCCGTTTTCAATACACAAGAGAAAATAGATTTTTGAGTTTGATATAAAATAATTATAGCTGTAGATGTCAGAACTAATCGCGTTGGTTATATGGCTTGTTCATTTGAAATGAATGCTTCTAATGCTTCGTGAAATAGCCTAGCGAAATACCACTCTGGTCTGATAATCTCCTCATGATAATGTATCTCATTGAAAATAAATAGCTGTTCATTGAACTCAGTTTGAAAAATAAACTGAAATACTTATTGCAATTCAAGCTAGGCAGCAACAATGAAGTGATCCTCCTCTGGGTGCCAGGGCATATTGGAGTAGAGGGGAATGAACAAGCAGACACTCTGGCACGACAAGGGGCTTCAACCGTCATCAACGCCACTGATCGGACCAGAGCCATACAGTGGCCTTGGAAATTCCTATTTCCAAGGAGAACTTGAGAAGGCGGAAGGAGCCTGGAGAGCCAGACAATGGAGAAGACTTCCAGGACAACGGCAGGCTGAAGATCTCCTTGGAAATTTCAACCGAGAAAGATCTAAGACACTGACAAACCTCAGCACAGGAAGTCTCAAAGCAATAACGGGATTTCTAACGGGGCATTGCAGACTCAAAGAACACCTAAGGAAGCTAGGCTTACAGGAGGACGGCCCCTGCAGATTCTGTGAGGAAGAACCAGAAACACCCCATCACATACTGATGGAGTGTGACGCTGTACATCACAAAAGATTGAACATATATACTGGGAACACACCAGCTGACTGTGGAAGAAATACCACAGCTGGACCCCCTCAAAATCCTCAAATTCCTGAAGGATTTGAATCTCGAGGGGCTACTATAAACAAGAAATCCTTTATATTGCAGAAGCAGATGGGGCACGATAGATCTAATTAGGTCGCAGCGCATCTGTCACCATCCAACCTACCAATACCAATACCAATATTGCAATTCAATCTGATGTATGGCTACCATACAAAGAAATTATATGTAATAAAAAGTCCACATTTTCGCAAAAAATAAGTGATCAGTGTGTCCACAAATTTACCTTGAGAAAATCCTTTGGGCGGCTACAAAATACCAAACAACATTGTCAAAAAATATGAAGACTCACAAAACTTCCACTTGCAAATAATAGTCACTTATTTTATTATGATGTAGCCCGATATTGTAATGCGTAGGTATCGTAAAAATTCCATGATAAACTGATTGTGTGACATTATAACAGTGATGAGGTGTTATCTGATATTATCAGACTATATCTGACTCTATTCATGTCTACTTATTTGGATGATCAAAACATATGTATGTACATATTCTGTCATCTGATAAATATAGATATAGGTTCCAGGAACGTGATGACTTCATCGCATCATTCAAGGGACCAAAGTACACTTTTGATCCCTCGCAGATTAAGTGTGTATTTAGATCTATGTTAAAAGTAAATACTAGCATTTGTTCCTCATTCGTCACCACTGTAAGACACATCACTTTTCGATGTCAACAACAATCAACAACTTTGAGAGTAAAATCTCTCAAACAACGAGACAATAGTGACCATTTTATATAATCCGTCGCGAAACGTTTGTTGTTTAAAAAGAACTTTAGTCCCGTGGTTTATAATCTACTGATATGAACCACGGGACTAATAGTAGATTATTTCATTAGGATCAAAAGTGACACTTTGTTTGACAAGCGAATTTTGCATTTGCGAGGCGGAGCGGCTATCGAAGACGAACGAAATAAAATTTGCGATTCAAACAAAGTCACTTTTGATCCGAATGTAACATGCTATTCTTTCTGCAACCGAAAGAATTGATTAAAATACATATGTGGAGTAACAACCAATGTGACTTACTTAACAGATTAATCTCATATCTTGATTATGATAATATAGGTAAGTAGATAGAAGCAAGACCTCAGACTACTTTACATTAGAATATTGGTAGACGATGACTTCACTCAGTCACAATTTGTGTTGACATGCATCATCAGATACTACAGGGAAGCATTCAATGCTATTCTCGAAACGTGGATGCCGTGCCATATGTATGCAATGCAGGAAATAATCCGTTTGGTGAGAATATTCTACCTGCATTTACTGATCAGGTTTATTCAATTTTCAAGGATGTTCGAATAGTAGTTTCAATATAAATACAGCCACAGAGTGACCCATTTTTGTATTCTATTGAATCGATGAATCGATGATTTCATTTGGACCAGATGTCAGCCCTTATAGCAAATACCGCGCCAGTGCAAGGTATCGAAAAAAGGAGTGGAAAATGTTATGTTAGTGAGCATATCAACAATAATAATAGCGATTATTTATTTCTCCCCATATTCCACTGTGTTCGGCTCGGTAATCAAATAGATGTGAACAATATCGTTGTGTGAGGCAAAAAAGTATTGCTGGCCCTGATTATTCAAAAACAAGTTATATAATCAATCAGATCCTAAGTATGAATGGAAAACAGATCAAGCAAGTATATGAACCTTGAAGCATTTCCTGATCAAAACAAAAATACTTAATTAAAGTATGGTGTATTTATATCTCGTGCTTGAGATGCCTTGATTGTTGTTGAAAATCCAGAAATGATTAATTTCTTGGATATGGATTTCTGCTTGATTGAGGATCCTATCAAATTTACGAGACGAATCCAAATTGGCTGTCCATGATGGGTTATCTGCGGTAATCTTCGTGCTGAAAACATTTTTTTCTAGAGCGAATAGCGATGGAGTACATAATTATGTGAGCAATCGATATGGGTCACCCTGTACCCTCCACAATCTGGAATTTAATGATTCTGACGGAGTTCGGGTGAAATTTTACGGTCTTGGGATACTATAGATAGAGCAACCTTCTGATGGCGATATTATTATTTTCAAAGTTATAGCGAATTATTACACCGAGAGAAATATCCATTAGCTGTTATACGAAACTGTATAACCTTCAAAAGATTTCTGAATTGAATAGGCGTCAGCATAGTTCCCTTTCCACTTCAATCCAGTACGTCATTAAAAAAATCATATAACAGTGAAACAACTCTTATATGAGAATGAAATGACGCTCATAAAGGGGTCAGATAATAAGCGTTTCAATATGGAATTGTGATATTATAAAAATGAAATGATACTGTGGGTTGAAGATCGTCGAGAAATATTGCCATAAGACATATCAACTTAGTATTTCTACTTTCTTTATTTTTTTTGTCGAGGTGGTTTAAATCTTTTATGGACACCATATGGGCCCAGTCCCCCATATGATAGTGTGGGACTCCCCTGACTGCAGCCAGGGTTTACCCACTAAAAATTCCACCCCGTTTGTAGGCTCGTCTGACCAATATCTCCGAAGACACTCAGGCCTATGGTGTCTCATTGTATCTTACCTAGTAGTTCTTTATCGTGCCCACTCCATTATCTCTGTACCTGGTTCGCCAACTAGTTGCCCAAAAATCTTCTGTCTTCTGCGGTCCAATGCCTCACATCGGCACAGTATATGTGCTAATGTTTCTGGTTCCTTGCCACATAGTCTGCAACTTGGGTTGCCATTGTACAGTCCCATTCTGGCGAGATGCTCCTTTACATGACCAGTCATGAGTCCCGTAACAGTTTTTATCTGTGCTCTGTTCAAGTTGAGCAGGTCTACAGTTCGTTTATGACTTGGTTCCTTAATGTATCGTTTCCCATGTCTGTTTCTTGCTCTTATGTTTTGCCTGAATCCAGTCTTCAACTGACACTCGTGCTGTACGTTTTGGTACTCCAAGAGTCTGTCCTGGATCTGGCTCGTTGTCCGACCCTGTTCTTGCAAGTTCGTCAGCCTTCTCATTGCCAGCGATCCTCTGATGACCTGGCACCCAGATTAGCTTGACGCAGTTCCAGTCTGTCAGAGTTCTCAGTTCCCTCTTGCAATCCCATACCAGTCAAGATGTCACTTCCTGGCTTTCTATTGCCTTAAGTGCCGTTTGACTGTCTGACATTGAAAAACAGATCTGCTCGTTTTCCACAGCTCTCCTGTTATTTTCTTCCGCACATTGGAGACTTGCGAACACCTCTGCTTGAAAAACTGAGGCATATTTCCCCAATGAGTAGCTGAAGCTAGTCTCCGTATGTTTGGAGTATACTCCTGCTCCTGACCCATTCGCAGTCTTGGACTCGTTTGTATACCAAATCTTTTCCTGCAGTATGCTGCTAAAGTGTCAAATATATATCGTTTGGAAATGTGATCTGTTCTCATATTAGATATGTCCCTGTTCACTATTCTGACGATGCTCATATGTCCTGTTCCTTTGTTAACATTGCCCAATGTATTTTGCAGTCTAAAGGCACCAAGTCTCGCCTCTTTCTGTACCATCAAGTGGAGGGGAGGCAGATCGAGTAGTGTTTTCATTGCTGCGGTTGGCGTTGACTTCATAGCCTCCGTGATTCCTAGACATGGAAGTCTTTGTATCTTGCTCAGTCTTGTTATGGCTCCTCTTTGTAGTGTCTTCTGAAGGCATCACCACCCTGTTATACAACCAGTACAGCATGTTTGGTCTCAGTCCCCATTTCTTTTCAAAAGAGCGTCTAGTCATCATCAGTGACGTTACCGCTCTTTGGTTGTCTTTTCTAGTTGTTGATTCCAAGTCAATTTCGGATCTAATATCACCCCGAGGTATTTAACCTCTTCTTTCCACTGTATTGTTTCGCCTCGAAGTTTAAGAAGACCTAATCCCTCTAGTCTATGTCTCCGTATGAATGCTATCATGGTGGCCTTGTGAGGACTGATATTCAGCCCTTCTTGATCCGTCCATTTTGTTACCAGTTCCAGAGCCTCTGTCATACGAGCTCAAACTGTGGTATTATACTTTCCTTGTGTCAAGACTACTATGTCGTCTGCGTATCCAAAGACTCTATGTCAACTGTCATTGAGTACCCACAGTAGCCCGTTAATAACCAGATTTCACAGAAGTGGGGAGAGTACTCCTCCCTGCGGACATCCTCTGGTCGCCCTGGCCTCTACGGTCTCTCCCATCACAGTGGTGTAAGTCGTTCTGTTTCTTAGCATTGAGTCTATCCAGGCCACACAGGGTTCCTCGATTCCTCTCTGTCTGAGAGCTCCAATTATAGAGTTCATTGAGGTATTATCAAAGGCTCCTTCTATGTCCAAGAAAGGCCGCTAATAATACCTCTTTATTTTCCAGCGTGTTTTCCACCCTTTCAACAAGTTTATGGAGTGCCGTTTCTGTCGAACAACCGGTCCTGTAGGCATATAGGTCTCGGTGCAGTGGATTTTCTGCCAGTGCGCCGCCCCTCATGTGCCTATTTACCAGCATCTCTAAAGTCTTCAGTGTGAATGACATAAGACTAATTGGTCTAAGGGACTTTGCCGTTTCCTGTCCAATTCTTCCAGGTTTCGGTATGAAGGTGACCCTCACTTTCCTCCAAATGCTTGGTATGTATCCAAGAGCTAGACTTCCTCTTAGTATATTGCAGAGCCACCTCATAGGTGATTCTGTTCCCTTTTGCAGCAGTACTGTGTAGATCCCGTCCGGTTCTGGTGATCTAAAGGGTTCTAATGAATTAACTGCCCATTCTACTTTATCATAGGTCACCACTTATTCAGCTATGTCCCAACTTTTCCTGGATTCTCTCGATAGGGCCCCCAGTCCGTTTTCGTTTCCCATAGCAGGTGTCTGAACTATTTGAGATCCAGGAAAGTATTTAAACTCACCCCAAGTAGAGTTTTTTTATTGAAACTACAGGGCATTGAAGTGCATCTCAAGGGCAAGATACTCAGTGCACAATATATCAATTTGCCTACGATGAAAATGCTTTCAATTTGGAGTATTTGTTCTTCTTGTCACTACCCTGGATTATTAGTTAACACAGTTGCCAAAAATTCACACGGTGATGTCAGTGAATGAGGATTCACGAATCTCCCGATGAATTGTTATCTAGAATTTTTGTGAATTTCGAAGCAGCAAATAAAATTATACGAATCAAATGAATACATATGCACCGTGTCCAAGATAAGGATACGAAGATTGGACATACTGTATACGCAATACAATCTATCACCGATATTACTGTGTAAATCCAAGCTTTTGGAACTATAGTGAATAGTGAGGTAGTTTGAATATACGAAATGTTATCCAAATTGATAGAATTTCTGATACATTACCGATTTATCGTGAAAACACTATAGCGCCATGAGGCAATTCAACTTCCTTTAGTTCCTCAACGAATCCTATACTTGGAGAGTATATAAACAAATATGTCCCTCAAATTTCTAGAAGAACTTCCAACCTCTTCACTTTTTCGAAAAATCAATTATCACCCTGTGAGAAGGGTTCACGAGCTGCTGCAGGCTAATATGACCTTACATATCAGGTATTCGTAGACGACTAACGATTCTGATGGAACAAGTCTTCATAAGTAAGTAAGATGACATTGTGGTAAACGAGTATGACAAAGATGGTAAATGGAGAAGGGATGGAACATAAATGATACTCGTTTCACTGTGAAATGACATCTTTCAGGAATCAAATGGCTATCTTTCGATGTCCATCTTTCAACTGCTTCACGTTGAGAACGTTGACTTTTCACGTTCATCAGATAACATTTCGTGGTTAAATTGTTTCATTTAGCAGTTATAGGATGTTTTTGAATAGAGACTAATATAACTGAATTTTTCTCGGTGTATTTCGATGCTTTACGACCCTGAATATACGGTTCTAATTTTTTATGAATTTGATGATTCGAAGGTCCTAAATTTTACGATTATGGCGAAATAGTTTTTGCTCGCGATATTGCTGGTAGGAAAATTCACATCATTTGTAAGTTTACAATCTGTTATATATCCAGAGTTCAGTACTTCATACAAAATATACGGCGAAGGTTAAATTGTGTTGATAGATTTTGTGAAAATTGATTGTGTTCTATAGGGTGTTTCAAAATTTAGTATCAGGATTACAGATACTTTTTAGGTGGAACAAAGTTTTTTCTAGAGCGTTGAAATTTTGAAATTTTCTTATTCTCTTCTGAATATTAGGCTTTCGGGATCTTCATTTGAGTAGATTTGAAACATTGGTTACGGTTAAGGGCTTACATCTTACAGTAGGTAGGTATACCGAGTGATTGTACGGTAGGGTTAAGCCCCTTTACGCTGCATCAACTTCTTTTGGTAAACATTTTCATCAACTCAAGCCAATTACAAGAAATGATTTTGAATCGTTCTGTCGTTAACGGTCGCAGTAATTCGAATTCATATCGTATTTCGAAGTCTACCAGCGGCACAACATACAAAAGTTCATGAAGCGAGAAAGGGCTAGACCCCTGAAAAAATATCTCCCTGTAGTTTGTCACAATCACTCGGCATACTTTAGATGAATTCCTTGTAACGTAACCTATGTTTCAAATTCGATCTGGATATCTCGAAAACTAAAAAAAAAATCAAACGATATTTGAACTAAAAAGTTCTGTTCGATTGTTGGTTGAAAAAATTATATTCTGAAATTTTGTTGATGTGTGATTTCACTACTTGTCAATTTACTATCACCTTTTTCTCCAATTCCAGGTCTCCAAGATGCGATATCGAAGAATCTAATCATCTCTGACAAGTCAGTGTTGGCCGCACGCGTATTGGCCATCAACGCTTCGATTGGGACACTGGTGAATTGCGCCTGGTGGCAGCGACAAGGTTTGGACATTGGCGGGCCTAGGAAGCTCACGGAAATCGGCATGGAGATCGGACATCGACCCAATACAGAATATCCATGGTGAATATATAATTCTATAAGAATAATATCATTTCATGAGCGAATATATCATCTTATTGTTATCAGTTTCTACACGCAGAAAAAAGAATACTACAAACTACAAGAATCGCTGTGAATCTTACCACGGAAAACGTTAAGAATAGGGACAACTTCCTTCGAAGTGGAATGTACTAGTTAAAAACGTTAAAACAATCTAACTATCTGCAACTTGGCGTCGTGGTGAAACTCAATGCTATAAAAGTTGGAATCAATCGACACGGAAGCTTGGTGAAATTCACCATGAGTATATTGAAGTGAAACACCATAGAGGCAGTATTCGATACTATGTGCCGCAGTAAATCTGTTTTTGTTATTTTCACCAATCAAGCTGTTGAAATCGAATGCTGAATTGTTCACCAAAAGTAGTAGTAAAGTATATTGCATATCTATATTGCCGCACCATTGGCACTATATTTATTAAAAATACATTCATGTTAAATATCAATTTCGAAATATTTATACGACGATCTATTGACTTCTATAGTTTTGAAGGCCAGCTGAAGGACAAACTGTCAAATTTTTCTTCTCATCAACTGTAAATCATATCCTATCATATCCCTAACCTGAAAAGATTGAAAACTGATGCTATTTGTTATATGTACCTACGTAGGCGGAGTGTCTCTCAAGTTTCCATGGGGAAAATTCCATCTCGTTCCTGAAATCATATTATAATCCGTAGGACTATCTAGTGATGCGGTGATAAACTCAGCAACCGTTTTTCCTGGAGAAAATGATAAATTGAAGAAATAGTTAGTTGACATTACCATAATATTATCGGGAACTCTAGAATGCCAAACTTCACTTTTTAGTTCAGTTAAATATAGCGTTTATGTCGGTTATTTTTATTCCCCAATGTCCGAAATTGTTCACCACATTTTGAAGTTGACGTTAACTATTGGAGAGGTAAAGTTAACTTATTGCCTAGGTGCATTGTACTACGATCGCATTCAAAGGTACTACGATTTCCAAACTGCAAAAGTGTGCGTATACGCCGCAGATCCATTGTTTCTACCTTCATATCGTTTCGAGTTCTTTTTGCAGCCCTGAGTTCACTAAAGGACACCAAAATGTTGTATCTGCAGAGAGGTCATAAATCTGTTAAAGAGATGTCTGCGAAATCTTATCCAAGAGATCATGACTTTTATACTGTAATATGCTCCTCCAGTCAAATAGGGTTTCACCTCGGAATGAGAGATAATGAGCTGAAAACTCGTATACACCTTTGTTTTGACGTTCTGAAAGTTGTCCCAAAAGTCTCATGAAATCTCGTGTCTACGTCGTGAGTTATTCTAATGTTATTCATATCTATTATACAAATTGTACAGCATAAAATTTGCGACAAACTTTGTTCCATAAATTTTTTCATGCCCTCAACCTTTTTAGGGAGCGGAGAAACGTTACCACCGATACAACAATCGGTGGTAACGGGAGAGAGCGGAGTGCTCAGCCATACACACTGTAATACAGGGTCAAATGTGGATCTCAGTGAATAATACCCTGTATGGAGTTATAGATCCATCAAGAGCCATTTTCCATTTCTATCTGGAAAACGGCAGCAGATTTGTTCCTGGAACGTTCAAAGATAGGTAGAATTTCATACTATTTCAATACCTCGCATATACTTTTCCTTCAAACATTTTCATATCGAATGGTTTTTCTCTCTTAGTTTTCTGATTGAGAAATTATAAGCGCGGTGACATTTTGGATAAAATCATCTGATCCCACTTTGCACAACTGAAAATGCATTGTTTTATTCATTCTGTAGTTAAAGGGAGCATGAGTGTTCATGTATTCTGAAGTATAGCAAAATTTGAGGAACAGAATAATAGTATATTACACACCGAGGTGGAAAGCGTCGAGGTTAGCTATGATCTCGAGACAGGAATGTAACTTCGTACCGAGATTTGTATACTATTTTATTCACAACCATCATATTTTGATCGAAATTAATTAATTTCTGTTTCGTTCTTGTGCTTCTGTACTCAGCAGATTTCACATAGCCAAAAATACATTGCTCGTAGATAGATGTATGTAAAATGTCATTGATTACAGTAGATTGAGTGATGAATAATTCAATTTTTCTACTCACATACCTAAAATGGTATTTAGCGTACGGATATGTACCATGCTAAACGATCGATTAATCACGGATTGTCGATCTGTGATTTATTCAAAATATTAAACACGTTACCATGGCAACACGATTTCTTGAACACATTACCATGGCAACACAGTTCATTGAACACAGCTTCAGTTATGAATGTCTGGCATGTCAATTGTATTAACTGTCAACTGTTATTTTCAAATTTTGTATCAGAATTACTCAAACAATATTCGTTTGCATCAGAATTCTTCATTCAAAATATATTCGAAATGTAGACGGAAGTGAAATTGAAGAGAACGTTCTGGTACTTGCATTTCTCCTAGAAGTGTAAAAATGAAGCATCCATCTTTGAGAACAATTCATTCATTCTGCGCTAAGCATGACAATAAACGTGAAACAAAGGTTAGTAAGCAATGGACTGGACTGGACATATCTACATCCAATATCACTTATACGTGCCTCGATGGTTGCATGCAGTTGCATGTATTATGTTCCCAATTTCTATTCCTTTCGAATTATTTTGTAGGTAAGCAGGAATAGCAGGTATGTTAATGTCATTTTTGAAGTTCGTAGATAAAGCATAGTATGTAACGCGTTTATAAACTCTTCTAGACACTCGTTTATTAAACACGCACTCCGATCGTGCTTAAGATACTCGTTACTAAAAAGACGTTTATGACACTTGTTACATAATATACTATTATCGTTCTCCAATGATATTTCATGCATATCATCGGAGCTATAGAAACCAAGTTAATCGCAAAAACACGAGTTTTGTTACCTTTGACCTTCAATAACTTAGACGAAAACACAAAATCTTATGAGATCTTTTGAGACATATTTGAGAACGTCGAAATAAGAGTGTATTCGGGTTTCCTGCTTATTTACTCTCATTCTGAGGTAAATCCCTTTATTTTTGGGGGCGACCTCTTCACGACGCTATGAATTATTAGTCAGTAGGACTTGCCGAAAGACAAAATCCAGCGAGTTGCGAGGAAGTTGTATTACCTATCAGAATAACATGGTTATTGTGGTGTCATAGTGTTTATGCATGTGCATGGGTCATGAACTGTGTATTCAATATATCGTCGGCTTACTATCAAATCCTCGTATAAGTTCGAATTCTTGGGGAATTTTAGGTTTGAACATTTTCACCATCTACGAAATTCAGCGCACCCATCACCAAATCATCGTAAGTCTATGTTTTTGATAGCGACATCCATTAGATATCATTTAAACCTCCTAACTGTACTCTGAGAGATTTTCAACTCAAAAACTCGTAAGTCTGCAAGAGATGATAGGGTTAAGTTGTGCTTGTTGAGAAAGTATAAAACTCTATTGTGTGATCCATTATTTGAACTGAATCTCTATTGTTTGATTCATTATTTGAACTGAAATCCATGTCAGACACCAAAGTGAGTTTATGATGAACTATTTGGTCAATCTTTCCGAATATTTCTGCAGTAATGCGAAGGTTCTGATCTGTATGTTATCTATCTAGTAGAGGACTAAAGAGCTTTCGAGAAGATGTTATGGATATTTGTATAATTTTATTCTGTTCATCCCAAATGAAGACATTGATTGTTTTGGAAACTGTATGCCTCATCCACAGTAAATTTAGAGATAGAGTACATTCTACTGCACAATACACTACGAGACAAGCCCTTAGTTTAACCTTACCACTCCCAAGGTCTTCACTAGTAAAAAATTCCTTTATATTTAATGGATAGAAAATGTTCAACCACCTACCTAATGCAACTAAAATCATCACTGATAAAAGGAAATTCCAAACTTCCGTGAGAAATATATTACTAGAGAGAGAATTTTATTCGCTGGACGAATTCTACTCCGAAATATTCTAAATAAATTTAGATTTCACTTGTTTACATCACCCCACTCCATATATATGATAAAAATAAAAATGTTGGTTATGAATCAGAATTGCATTCTCTTTATTATACGAGGTCTGTTTCCTTTTTTATAATGATTATATTTTCATTTTTGAACGATCGACTGATAGATTGATGGTATTTCTCGGGTATTTGTTGTAAATTTTGGGACTATACTACTTGTAGATATATGTTATTATATAAATTTTATACTGTAAATTGTCACTATTTTCATTGTATTCACAATGGTTGTATGTAATTTTTTTTTATATTTTATATTTCATAATTTTTATTTATACAAATTGACCTATTTTCAAGCTTTGCTTTGTCAATAAGAATATTTATTCTTCCGATAATGAAGCGTATTTTGATTTGATTTTGATTTGATTTGAACAATTCTGGTTCATTATTATTGCACCCATATTTCTCGTTGTTATCAAGACTGCCGCTGATTTGCTACATGCACTGTGAAGCAAGGCGAAACTAAATGACAATTCTCACTAATAATTGATCAAAACCAATTCAATCTGAATAATGTTCAATTTATTTTTGTAAATACTTCGTATGTCGTTTATTCGAACATTGAGAATATAAATCTTCTTAGAATGTTAACTTCATTCATCAATGAAATTGAATTGTTTGAACTAGTTCGAAGTACCTAGCTCTGAAAGACTTACGAGGTTTTGACAGTAAGCCGACGATATTATAATACGTGATGCTATTATTGAAAAAGCAATATGACTTACAAGCAGTGTTGGAATAAGTCATGAGTTTTATAAAAAAGTCAAAAAAGTCTGACTTTTTGAATAAATTCGAACTTTTTTGAATTAATTCATTCGAGAACAAATCAAATTCTATTTACTTGAACATAATTCAAGAACATCGAAAAAACTAAGTTTTTATTTCCGTTAAAAATCCTAAAGCGTGACAATAAAATACTTAAAATATGCAATTTTTGCAATTTGAACTGAGACTATTGATTGAATGAAAAACGATGTTTATACAAATTATATTACTTATCACAATCTTCATTATAGAGGCGCTTTTCAGTTATTTTCAATAAAATGCAGCAATATCCATGGCGCGCCTTGGTGTCACCTTGGAAAGCAATTTTCGATGCATTGCAAGAAATGAGTTCCGGACATATTTATTTATATTGTGGTAATTTGTATTACTGGTGCAATTCTAGTGGTGACATGTTAGATTTCCGGAATTTCACGCATCATTAGATACACATTGGATCTTACTCTTCTTGCCTTTCTCATGGTTTCTTCTACCCAACTCTTGACCCAACTCAAAACTCGGTGAGAAGTAATACACAGAATCTATGACAAAAAGATATTGCGAGCCGGTAATTTCGATTCAGTGTTGACAAGCCTACATATTATTTTTGCCGGAGATATGAATTGGAGCAATCAATTGCATGCAATGCAATATTGTGAACTGTAAAGCGGCTCTTAGAATTTTTTTTCCGCGTGTGGTGCTTCACGGTTGTCAGTTGTCAGATGCCATCGGATATTTCATTACAAACTAGTATAAATTGAAGGTAATAATGTGATTTGTTCCCGTTTTATAAATTTTGAATTAATGCACGACTTATTTGAAAAAAGTCATTTGAATTAATTCACGAATTAAATCACTGACTTAATTCATATGAATCAATTCGTGCCAACCCTGCTTACAAGTGATGTTATTAACGTTTTGGCTACAAGTTCTTGCCATATCACTACCAACTCATGTGTTACATAATAATATGCTTAATTACTATACTGCATAAAGCTATGTGATCGTTTTATGGTTACATCCCCAAATTTTCATCGCACTGTTTGGGGCTTTTATTTTTCTTCTTGTGCGAGAGAGTACATATGACCTCAATCTCTCCAGGAGCTACTTTCTTTCTTGTGGTTTCATGAATGTTATTTGTGCGAATTAGCTTCAGTTTCACGAAAAAAGTGGGACAGGAACGGAGGAATAAAAAAAGTCTACTTGCACATTACTCAAGCTTAACCCTGTATTCATCAATATAATTTTTCTGTATCGTCATTTTTCTAGCTTCGAACTATTTCATGTATTCCTTCGTATACTGTACAGCAATTTGGTTAATTCATTGCTATTTGATGCGTGATCGTTCAGCATTATAGGCCAGAGATCTGTGTGTCCCTTGTTGGGTCTTATTTTCCCATTAGCTTGACCTCCCTAATTCAGTTAGTCGATTGACTTTTGAATAATACCATGGATATCGGGGAAGTGAGGACGAGTAATGTTATCATGTATGTGAATACATATACAGGGTGATTCAAAAGAAAGTGGCATCCTTCCAGGGACGTATTCCTTGCATGAAAATAAGTCAAAAAGTTCCTATTGATAAGGGTTCCCAGAATGCTTCCCAAGGGAACTACGCTCCTTTGAATAGGACACCTCAAAGACGATTTTTCCTCTATAACTTCAAAATCCTTCACAATAAATTTTCGAAAATTGGGTTGCGGCATAAACATTTGATGGTAAATGAGACTCTGAATTCAAAATTCCAAAATGTTTTTTAGGTATTCAGGGGCGTCACATGCAGGGAAGGGTGAGTGTAAGAACATCCCTTCTTCTTTTCATATTCAAGTTATTGTGATTAACGCAAATCAGAAAGTTTTCAAAGTCGATTTTCTCCTTAATGGTACGCTCCATCGGAATGAACTGAAAAAATTTTCTCACATGAAAAACTCTAGAATTTTATAATTTCTAAACAAAATCACAGTAACCCGAATGTCAAAAGAAGAAAAGATGTCTTATTTGCCATTTAATGTTTATAACGTACACCAATTTTCGAGGATTCATTGTGTAGGATCACAACCGACTTGGCAGTCACTCAAAAGGATTTCTCACAGTCATACCCAGAAAATACAGTTTTAGGTATTCTTTGAGTTATATCCACTGTGTCCAAAAAATATCACCCTCCTCCCTGAACGACTGGCATTGTTTTCTTTGTTTTTTCCCGCTTCAATGGTTCTACAGTTTCTATATTTTGATTCCGAAAAAATATGTACATTCCAAAATGGTGCCTGGACAGCATATTAGAATGAGAAGGGAGGTCAACTGCTACCTCTTTCAAGATGTCTTTCAATTCTCTATATGACACCACAATTTCAAAACAATATATTATGACGGGTGATAAAGTTTGAAATGTCATACCTGGATCCTTTCGACTATAGATGGCTTTATAACGTATACTCTTGTAATCTATCTATCTGTTGGCATCTATCCTCTATCTACTCTGTATCCAGAAAAAGTTTCAATGTTACTTCGAGTCAAGCTACTGATCCTCCAGTTTTTACATTTACATTTTTCCAGTAATTATTCGGTTGAAATTTCAAAAATTTTCAGAAATTTCAATATCAACATTTCGTATAAAACTTCCCCCAATCTCAAACATCTACTTGTTGATTCTAAAAACAAAATTTCTCAAACAAAAGAGTCAGGTGTGTCCAGATTAAATTGTAATGATTGTAATTCTCATCCACAAATTTCTCAACTCAGATAATTCTCACACTACATCGTCCTTTACAAATCATATTATTGATTCTAGTCATTTTCTTGATGATAACTTCAATATGAAGATTATCCACATTTGCAATAAAGTATCACGGCTAATCCTTTTGGAAATTTTAGGAATTCAAAAATGTATCAATAACCCAAATATCAACTGTATCAACGGCCAAACTGATTTTGAACGTAACCACTCTTTACTCACACTTGGATTCTCATGAACAATTTTGTTTTCTTTGCATTCGCTCAAGCCGGTCCTGTTTTGTCACTTTTCCGATTTCTTCTTCTTCTGTCTTTGATTACATTTACTACACCTTGACATTTCTTCTTCTTGGCTGATTCATCTTATTCAACCTCATCACGTACATCATGGTACTCTTCAGAAATTATTGTAATATTATCACCTTAATGTTCCGAAATTTACACTCATTCTGTCCATGACATTCGGTTTACATCATTTGTCACTATCATTTATCTTGTTATTCTGTCAACGTATGTTGCTATGCTTGATGCACAAATGGCCATTTGCAGATGAAACTCATTTGAGTGAATTTAAGTAATATTTCCCAATTTTATGCCAATATTGAACCTGATGATCGTTGGGTTCTGTTGGCTGTTTAGTCGATTAAAAATTCAAGTATTTCTTAACCGGACTGATTTTTTGGTCAAATGACCCCACGACTCTTTTTTTAATTTTCATTCCATAATGCGCTTTCCACATGGCCTTATAGGTATGTTGTCCTCTCAACAACTCATTGTTCCACTATAAATTGAATATATCCACAGGTGCTGTGTACTGATGCGTCTGAAGATGACTGTTTGATCCAAAACTAGTGACAATACATTTTGTGTAATATTGTTTTTGTGGTCGACTCACTTGGTATGATTCTGTTTTTTCCTTTGAAAAATACGAATAAATATTCAATTTGTTCAAATCCATTACCAATGCCAGAAACTAGCATCATTGTTTCAATACCTTTTACCTTCTGTAGGTACGAGGACGCCGACTCCAGCCCAGGACTGAGGTCGCCGAAATTCGTTGAAAGTCCCCCGAACGTCGCTTATAAGGGCTGGTGGACCTACCCGTACTACTCCTGCTCCAGCAGGACTTGGCTGATCTCTTACAGCGTTCCTGTGCCGCCGCCAGGAAGAAGAGGGTAAGCAATATCAGCTATGATTATAATCGCATCTCTAGCACTGATATAGCCCACTATCTATAGACCGCTAATGCCATAACAAAAATGCTGTGTCACTTAAGGTGAGTTCCCAATGCAGCTTTCTTGTTTTTCGCGTCACTCGTCACGCACTATGTTCGCATTGAAACATCATGAGAATATCTGAAAATACTGAAAATATCGGATAATGCTTGCAAGATATACAGAGCTGCATCAGATAAGTAATTCATCCAAAAAACGAAAATAGCATAGTGAAAATGAGATTATCAGGTAGGTACCTAATTCAGGGATACTGCAATGATTTACTTATCATGAGATCTCTTTCTGAAATGTTGGAAGCAACTTCAAGTCCAGTACACAGCTCCGCGGATGATAGTACCCTCCATACCGCCTTCTCTTCCAGGGCTCCAATACCAGCCAGGCAAATCAGAAACGAACGAGGAATAAATGTTGACAACATATATATATGGACTTGGCAACAATTCTCGAATGGGGATCCAATAACTTGGTGGATTTCAATGCAAACAAAACACAAGCATTCCTTTCGTCTGGAAAAACCGATCTCACTGTGCCCAACATGAACTTGTCAGGAGTAACCATACCTTTGAAGACATCCATTTCGATGCTTGGTATCACTATCAGCAATAACCTGTTTCTTTGAGTTGAGCAAGAGATAAATGCTCCTACTGGATCATGAAAATCAAATCAGTGACGTTCAACTTTTCAAACGAACTGGCATATGGACTTCTCTTCTTGAAATCATCTCATCACTCATGTGTATTTGATGTTATCCACTAACGACTAACGTATATATTCTGAAAGCTTGGTGCTAAGATGTCCCACCAGTTGGCGTTACAAAGACGTGAGGTCAATGTCAAAGGTCGAAAATCACGAAATTTCGCCGCAGACTTACGTTTTTAAACTCTCAATGTGGAACTTCACGACCAATGGGCCTGTTTCAGTGAAAACTTTCATTTCACTATTTCGAAGTACTAACCCTAACTAGTTCACTGTAGCAAACCGTTTTTTCATCAGAGCTCTGTAACTTTCTTGAATAACTATTGGAATTTACCATATTCCATAACATGGACGTAATCATCCGAGCACACCATATAAGATTCGACTCACGTATCAACTCTCTATTGCTGACAGACAAGTGCAAGAATATTTCTGATTGTCATTTCATTGTGATTATTAGGGACTAGGTCGTACTATTTTGTCTTCTGATGTGAATGTAATTACCAGTTTCAAATCTGGCAGCGTCGAAATATGTGGTGCTACTTTTTATCTGGGAGCCAGAATTCGGTTCATGACGTCAATAAATAAAAATTGCAATGATTCTAAATAACGAATGATTACATCAAATACTATCTATACATGGAATGATCAGTATAAAATAGGGAGGTATGTGGCGTTAATTCGACTAGTGTGTACAACTCCATCATTAAATTGACGGGAAAGGATATCGTAGGAAGAGGCAGCAGAGGCCAAATGACAGGAAAAGAAGTTTATATATCAGTTCTACTAACTCTGACTCACATTCCAGTAGCGCGATCTGGTGGACAAAAATAATATTAGACCTTATTCTTAAAATTGTGCGCTCCAAGCGATAAAAAAAAAAAAAAAAACGCAGAGATGTATAGAAATTTAACTGGTGCGCTTGCTCCCTATATTAAAGGTCGTTTGCGAGTTTCTCGATGGCGCCTACTCTGATAACCTTTGATAAACATACTTGACGTGGGTAAATCTCGCTAAGCTCATCCTGGTTACAATCCATATTTACAGGAAACATATTACCTACCGATAAATATTTGGATACGTATAGGATTTGGATCAGAGCATTGAACTGATTCCTGATCAAAGGATCGAAACGTCAATATGTCAAATATATTCTTGAGCTGAAAAAATGGTTATTTCTGAGATTGGGGTCAAGTGTTCGTTAGGGACGTGTTCCGTGGTTTCTAAATTTTGTCTATAATACCTAATCCACCATAGGAATAAGGAAGTCTCTGTTCTACAACAGTATTATTTCAGTGATTTGAAATATTAGCGTGAACTGGTGTGAATAAATTCTAAGGTTACCAGTTACCATATCTGCCTATTATGATTTTCGATATTGGTCTATTTCAATAGTTGATACATTCTTTGTTCTGGTTCTTCAAAGAGGAAATTCATCAGATTTCATACTTTAAATAGGTTCATGTCATGAAAGAAGTGAAGCTTATTAGAATCGGCTACTAAAAAGATTTCTTGCTTCTATTTCAAATTGAAATTTGAATGAAAATGTTGATCACCGTATTCATTCGACCACAGAACAATGATGGAAATCCCTCACAGAACCAAGGTTTTGAACAATTTTCCGATTATGGCGCCTCTATCGCAAATACCTGAACCCCACGTCCAAAACTCGCTTGCAATTGTTCCATATCGAGAGTTAGTCTGACGAAACAATTGAAGAGTGAGCCCACCAGTTAAAATTCTATACATCTCTCTTCACGCGATCCAAATCAATATGCATCACAAAGGAATAAATAGTTTGTCATGGACAATTGACGGTATTAGAACGAATGTCAGTTTGACGCTTCTGTTATCATGAATCAATAAATTTGTTTATTCCTGACAGTGACATTATAAGCTTATATCGTCATAGTTACGATATCTATAATAAGGGTCATAACTCCCTTGGGATGTTATAGATGCTATAATTCCCTCTAGCTAAAATTAAATAAGAAATGCATAGCAACAACCACGCAATAACGTAGCAATAAGGAATCTCCTATTCGCGGTAGTCAAAATCATCATCTGACGTTCTGATGACATTGAAACTATACGGAAAAATATGTCTAACTTCCAATCGGGAAGGTACCTAATGAATGAAATCAGTCAGAAATAAAATTATCTATGTATCACGGGAATTATAGAGCCTTAATTACCGATGGCAAAGTTGGACAGCAATAATTCCCTTAATACATAAATAACTAATATTGTATAACTGCATTCGAGAATTTTGATTCAGTACATTTGGGATATTAGAAAATAAATTTGTGAGGTCACTGGGATTCTAAAAGGAAATTGATCATTTTTTCATAATATTGACACTAATTACTTGGATTGCACGGATCTTATAGGTATCTCGACGTCAAGGAAGCATACTGTAGCCAATATATTATATTGTGAAAAAATTACACTTTTCCGCGCTCATTTCAATGATGGAAGACTTACTTCTCCTCACTTTCTCATGGCCACGGTTGCAACAATTTGTGCTGACAAAGCATAATCGAAATCTGACTTCAGTGATGGAAAACATGCGCTAGCCTCTGCCATTGATTTAGATATTAATATAAATAATAAATGATTAGTTGATTAAACTTATTGTTTTTTAACGGATGCTAGTAAAAAAAAATAATCAACCGAACACGTGCGTTGCAGTGAATTGACAGCTCTGTTTTCTTGAATAGGGAAGCAGACGAATATTTTTGTTTCAGTGAGTAAATGAATAGTATCTTGGTGACTTTAATTTCAATTCAACATTTTCTTGACAAAAAATATTATGTACACTATTTTGATGCTACAAATGATAACAGGAAAAATATAACAAATGATAATTTCAAATTATTCTATTTGATAGCCTTCCTATTTTTTCCACCTCACATTCCAGTAGATCACCTTTTTGTAAATATTGAGGGGGAATTTGACTTGCTCCAGTTCCAAATGGCGTTCCAGTACAAATTATATCACCTGGCAGTAGCGTCATCACCCTGGAAAAAAAATCATATAAAGATAAAATTAAAGATGAATTCTCATTATGCACTGTAGTATGGAGAACGAAAAGACAGAGCATTCTGAAAATTGGGATGCTTCGATAATTGAAAATTCTCTATCCGTCTAAAATATTTTCATCGATAAAGTGTTGCCACTTCTATCAGAAACAACTAGAAACTTTGTTATTTCAAATGGAACACCCTGTATTTTATTGCATTTTGAGATTCATCCTGGAGAGCTGATTTCATCCATGCTGGGGTCTAGCAGGAATGAATCGAATGATTACAGAGATATAGGGTATTCAAAATCGAGATTTTTCAATTTTAGGATTGTTTCTGGTCGAAACTGTGCTATCGATCAAAACGGCTTACTTGTCCCTATCTTAACTTTTGATTCACTATCTATTGAAATTAAATTGGAAAAAATACAGGGTGCTTCAAGATTCAGAATTCTGATTACCCTGTATCTGTTCCAATTAAATGTCAGTAGATGGTGAATCGGAAGTTAAGATATAGGGACATGTGAGCCATTTCGATCGATAATGAATTGTTTCGACAATCCTAAAACTGTAAAATCTTGATTTTGAACACCCTATATCTCTATAATCATTCCTGCTAGACCCCAAGTGTGATGCATTGATGTAATAAGCTCTTCAGGAAAAATCTAAAAATGCAATAAAGTACAGTATGTTCTATTTGAAATAACAAAGTTGCTAGTTGTTTCTGATAGAAGTGGCAACACTGTATCGATGCAAATATTTTAGACGGATAGAGAATATTCAATTATCAAAGCATCTCAATTTTCAGAATGTTCTGTCTTCTCGTTCTCCAGATACTTCTAATAGGCCATCCACCGTGGATCACCCTGTATATGTACCATGCTTAACGATGACTACCTATTGATACCATTTTTATAATCACTGCATCACAGATTTACAAGTTTTCTTGAAATATTTGCCTCAGAATATCATTGACAAGATCCAATTCAAGCCTCAACATCCAGTTTCTAAATTATTTTTACCTTTATTAGCTATCTCACCATTTTAATAAACTGTGGCTACGTTGCTTTGCTCTCCGCATATCGCTTCATTTTTTCCATCATTAAATTTGATAGTACCTCCTGAGCCTTTGTATATACAGTGTGTCCCAAATTCGATCCCCACCATTGGGATCTCAGTAACTATGAGAGATAGAGAAACGGATAAATCGGCAAAGTTGTAG